GACGAGACGAGATGGCTCAAGTGGTTAAAGCGCGAATTTACTAACCGGAAGGTCCGTTTTTCGAATCCAACCTCTGCCTCTCGACTTGTCTAGGCTCCTCCTTCGTGTGGCATGGCAGTTGGGCACCAAAAGATTGATTCAGCTCAACGATTTTTTTTTACAAATCTTTATGATTGTATTTCACACCGCTGGACATATTTGCACATCCGTTAGAGACCAGCTCTTACAGGTTACACATTGGAAAGAATCATAACGTCTTTCTATGCTTTCGTCAGCTAAGAATTTTAATAAGTGAATATCAAAAGAAGTCACAGGGCACTTTTATTTCTCCGGTTTGTAATCAAATCACAAACTCGTTAGAAGCGGCAGCCAAGTTTGACCTCACTGGTTAGCGTTATGTCAACGAACCAGCTGCATGTTGGCGTGAAACAGTGAGGAAGTAAAATATAAGCATGGTTCCGTAAAGTCTCCTGAAATCATTGAATATTTCATCCATACGTCCATAGATTGAAACCGTAGGTCTTGCAGATTTAACCAGTTCACACGTGTGTTATGTACTGGAGCCTGTTGCTGATAAGAACTTGAAGCGCGTTGGTCTTTAAGAGTTGGTCTTAAAGTTGAATAAATCACCTTGTTGACGACGGATTCGGTGCTGTCATCTAGATACATACCTGATGGAACCGTTCCAGAACTGTTATCCGTCAACGAACTGATAAATCGAAGTTTTTTTGGACATACTTTCACAAGAACAACGCGCTCCTCATAGAGCAAATAAGACTGCCTAATGGGCGCCTCTTCATAGTGATGGTGAAGATGGGTTATTTTTGAATTCAAATAAATGTTCGGATTATATCCAGGGCGTCAGTGGCGGTGGTTTCCAGAATTTCAGTCCGGCAGATGATGCGCTGTTCCATACATTTCTCCCAATGGGAATGTCGGCAGAATTTTTGTATCGCTTTGAAGCGGGGTGGGAGGTTGAGTCCTCTGAGAAAGGAAATTTTCCACTCCTACCCACTCAATTTTCCCTTGATTTTAAGTGGATTATCCGTTACACTCGAACATATCAAATCTTTAAAAAAGGTTCAGACAGTAAACAGTGGACAAATTCAAGGATCAGACAACTGGAAGATTGATAATCTTCGTGCCATTCGATCAATAAAAGCGTACTCAACTTTCTGAACAATCAGCGACAGTATGCATTCTCTAAGGACTCCGGAGCTGGTTTTCCGATGGGGATGGGATCCTGGCTACTCACACAGTCAAAGCATTCGTAGGGACAATCTACCCGCTGGCAATGTATTTTTAACTGCAAGTTGTGGGGAAACTAGCAACAGTATTACAGAAGATCCCTTGAAATTGCTAGCGTATAAGCATGATGCTGTTTCTAATTTAGACGAATCTGTAATTACGATATCCTACTGGCCGTTTCCCCGAAGGATCATGTACTTGTCTACGTGGATGCGATGCTTATTTCTTGGATGCACTAGTCAGATTGTTGCTTACACCGCACAGCAGTCTGTCATGAGGGTACCCGGAATTTGGATTGCTATTCCAATAGCTATTAAGCTTAGCGAAACTCATGTTTGAAGACGAATTTGGTTTCGCGAGAGACTCACCTGGAACCCAGCGGAATCTTTCGTTCGTGATGTGTCCGGGCAACGGAATGTCCTGCACTCATGTTTCCGTCGCTACGATATTCGAGATATCGCGATACATGTACATTCGTAATGCACTACTCGTAAGGTTCGCTGAGTAGTGCATTGCTTTCAAGCTTGTTTTGCACCAGTTAAATTGCAAAAGCCGGCATATTTTAATGGGTACATTACTTCCAAGGTAGCTAAAAACTCCTCGACGGCCCACGACCAATTTGGTCTTCTTGGTGGACCAATTTGGTCCTTCTTGGTGCTCATCAGATAGTCACCGTCTCGCACCCACCATCAAAATTATGTTCTGTGTGACTCGCGAAACACGAGGGATTTAAGTGAATGCGTGAAAAACTGATTGAAAATGAGAAGCGAAATGTCATCGAGCTCAGAGTGGTGTTATCTTGATAAAATGCTGTGTTCTTCAGCATTTTCGTTCTCCGATGCGTCATAACGAGGGCCATGTCGCATACTGCTGTCTCATTGTAATCGATGGTCTGTCTGTTCCACCCCTGTCAAACCCCACAGATGAGGACACCCGTCTCGTTTCCAGCATTCTTGTAGAAAACCAATATGATTCGACAACCAGTTCAAGTGTGCGTAAAGTTCACCATTAATTCACAACGGCAGCTGCTAAGAGAACGATAACCTTCACCGACAGCCTACATTCAGCCGCCTCTGATACACCCTCTGTCTTCTTTTTGCTCATCAAATATGAAGGATTTGTAAGGCGAATTGATGGCTACACTGAGGTAAGTGTGAACCCTACGAGTATTTCACGCTTTGCTGATTGGCCAATACTTCACCCGGTTTGGGGAAACGAAGACGCTGCATGGAACGAAGTACTTTATTAGTTTATAAACAGCTCAACTCCTGTAACGCTCAATTTCAATCCATTTGACTAAAATCAACACAGGAACTCAATGAACAGGCGGAAAGGCAAATGGACAAATGCAGTGAGACGCTTCGCACAGATTTCGGCATTAGTTGAATGGGAAAAGCCGATGAACAAAAATACACAACACGATATCATAGCGACGTCTGGTTTAGTAAGTTAAATGTGGACCGATTCCAGACTTTGATGACATCGCGCCTTGTCTCCAATGTGACGGCGTATGAATCGAAGAGGTTGGTTTACCTTCCTTCCTTTTTCATCTGATCCATGTCTGCTTTCAGTTGACACATGACACACGGCCCACAAAATGTGCTAGCACAAAGGTCTTTTAGTAGAGTACCCTATGTGAGAAAAAGCAACTGTATAGCAGTAAAAGAAAAACATGATTCTACTTGAAGATTTGCGACAGTAAAATCAATATAAAAAGAATTATGCTATTCACAGGACAGGTAGATCAAAGATCAGAACCCAGAACCGACTCAACTCGTGCACAGATTATAAACCTGGAATGTGATAGTATTTCAGTCATTGTCACAACTGAAACACGGGACAGAAAAGCCTACAACCTCATCTTGGGGACAAAACAGGTCAAATTTTGTTTCGCGAGAGACAGAATGTGCTGCACCTAGCGAACTACACTCATTTGCAAGCAAATTTTGTTTCGCGAGAGACAGAATGTGCTGCACCTGGCCCCTTCATGTCTCTGTTGGTACTATATTCGAGATGTCGCGATACATGTATATACGTGATGCACTAATCATAAGGTCGAACAATTTTCAGCAACCTTATTAGCAGCGCATCACGCAATCACAAGAGTTGTTCATAGCATGAGGAGATTTTAAAAACTCTCAATCGGGAGTTCCTACTGGGAATGAGGCAAGCTATCAAATCCTCATTGAAAATCATCATTTGCGTGGACCTCACCAACCACCGGGGCAATTTGAATCCATGACACCCCGGCTAGTAGTCGAACACTAAACAGTTCGGCGACGGCAGAGACTGACTGAAAATAAAATTGATCGCAGTTTTGGGGTTTTGCGGGATAGGTATTTTGTTCATAGTCACACCACTCTCGTTTGAACGGTCGTCCTCCCGTTCTGGCGTAATTGTTCCGGTGAGTTCACGCCAAAGGAAAGCGGTGGACTCGGGTTTCGCTCTTATCAGAGCTCTTCAGCAGTGCATATTCAATGGCCGTGCCAAGAGTTGAATTCCGGACATCTGACATGCGAGGCGAGCGTGTAACCACTACTCCACCAAGGCACGTTGAACGCATCTGAATTTTCAC